GGGGAAAATTAAGATGATAAATATGAATTACAATATGAACTTGTTAAGACATTTACTCACAATTTAATCGGATAGCTACTGCTGATTGGAATTTTTCCACCCTTCAGGAAAATTTTAACTTTTCACTGAAAACTCCAAATCCATTTTTTCCCCCAGTTTTTGGCAAATGAAAACTTTTTGCTGAAAACTGGATTTTTTTTATCACAAAACCAAAAATGTTTGTTTTTTGAGTTTTCAATTTCTTTATAAACCAATCGCAAAATGTTTGGAGAAAAGCAGACAGAGTCTGAGATTTGTTGTTGTTTAGCTGAAAACCCACTCGCCATTAAAATGAACACAGCTGAAAATTTCCAACCAGCCTTAAACTTCAAATAAATTGGGGAACATTAATATTGCCTGATCAGACCTTAATTTCAAACCATTTATCCTATTGCATCTGTGTGATTTCTCTTCCAAAGGGATAGTTGTGAGAAGGTAACAACTGAATAACCAGTTAAGCTGACAGCACACAGACTATGTTTTATACAGACTAGCCACTTTAAACCCTGGGTTAAAGTTGAAACAAGCAGCCAAACCCTTTCTATCCTGACACCATTCAAGGATATACAGGCGATCACTGGGAGTAGAACTCAGAGCTCCTGTCCTAGCTCCACACCGCTGCTGGCTGAGTATAAACAGTGTAAATGGGTTTGCAGAATTTACAGAGAACAAGACATGGGGCCATGTTTCCAAAGGTATTTCAGCACCGATTTGGATTTTCAAAAGCACCTAGGAGCTTATAACTCATTGATTTCAAGGGGTGTTGAGGGCCCTGATGCTTTTGAGAATCCCACTATGTGCTTCAATAAATTTAAAAATCTGCCCCACAGCCTCTCTCCGAAAGCCCTTACAGTCCTAGTAGACATGGCATAGAAAGGGAGGGAGGGGAAAAAGAGGCAGAAAGAGGGGAAATGACTGGCCGAAGGTCACACAGCAGGTCACTGACAGAGACAAAAGTATAGCCCAAGTGTCCTGACAAACCCTGCACTGCACAGCACATAATAAACGATACAACATAGCGGTGATGGAGGGATGCTGCTAGTCCATTGTTACACACATTTAAAATGTGTTGGCATTTTAGTCTGTTTCATAGCCAAGCTGTGAGCTTGGTGATATTCGCAACAGAGGGACGTCTTTTGGACAATTTTTGGGGTATGGATTGTACTCTGTTCCATTCTTCATACTGCATTTTAACAAGCCACATCTTGGGCCAAATCCTCAGATGGGGTAAAGTAATGAAGCTCCATTGAGTTTAAAGGAGCTGACCCAATTACACTAGTTTGATAACAGGACTGATTGCTTGTCAGATGCGAGAGCACTAACAACACCTAAACATTTTTAGTGACGAGTGCTGGGCATCTTTGACATTCATGTAATGAGATATAAGAGAAAAGCGAATCAGGGCCATTCCCACTTTCGCTCTATTTCTGACCATTGTCTTTCTCATTCCCCCTACAGCCTTCACAGATTGAACTGAGAAAGAAAATGTCCAACCAAACCACCATGACTGAATTCCTTCTCCTGGGATTCTCTGATGTTCCGGAACTGCAGATTTTACACTATGTGGTGTTTCTAGTACTTTACCTGGTATCCCTGCTAGGGAACCATCCCCAAATCCATGGCCAACTCCCTCATGAATACAAGAGTGATTTCTTATTCTGGATGTGTCGCCCAAGTCTTTCTTTTCTTCTTCTTCGCTTCAGCAGATTTTGCCATACTGACCATCATGGCGTACGACCGATATGTCGCCATCTGCCAACCACTGCACTATGAGACAGTGATGAACAGGAGAGCTTGTGTCCAAATGGCCGCCAGTGCCTGGATCAGTGTTATTCTTTACTCTGCAGTGCACACTGGAAACACGTTTGCAATATCCTTCTGTGGAGGCAACATGGAGGATCAGTTCTTCTGTGAAGTCCCCCAGCTACTCAAGCTCGCCTGTTCTGACTCATACCTCAGTGAAGTCGGGTTTCTCATCTTTAGTATGTTCTTAGGCTCAAGCTGCTTTGTTTTCATAATTGTGTCATATGTTCAGATCTTCACCACAGTGGTGAAAATCCCCTCTGAGCAGGGCCGGCATAAAGCCTTCTCCACGTGCCTCCCTCACCTCATTGTGGTCTCATTGTTTATTTGCACAGGGACCTTTGCCTACTTGAAACCCACCTCCAGCTCAACTTCAGGTCTGGATCTAGTGGTGGCTGTTCTCTATTCTGTGTTGCCACCAATGATGAATCCGATCATCTACAGCATGAGAAACAAGGAGCTCAAAGGTACACTGAGTAAACTGGTAAGTCAGAAGCTATTCTCTAAGAATAAAATGTCCATATTTCTCCTTCAGTAACAATTTCATTCTGTGTTTCTTTATATAATCAGCTGATGACATTATCGCCTCCATGAGAAAATACTGTTCAATCTGTTTATGCAGAATTTGGTATTTATACTAGTAAAACTCCAGACAAACATGACTCAAGAAAAAGGGAGTTATTATAGGTTTACACCAGTGTAAATAAGATCAGAATCTATCTATCATATACTGCTACCCATCACCATACTATCTGAGCACCTTGCCCATAGAATCAGTAGCCATAGCAAAGCCCCGAGTGAAGTCTCTGGCTCTTTTTATTTTTGGTGATAATCTCTCATTGAGGTATCAATGCATTTGTTCTTTGTATTTCTTTTTCACTTGTTTGTCAGATTATCTTTTTTTTTTTGCTTAACTGGTTGGCTGGTGGTTTGGTTTGTTTCTTTGGAGGTGGGAAAGCCTGGGGAGATGGTGAGTGTTTGGTTAGACATGATTTTCAATGTATGTTCTCTCTTGTAAGTGCCAATATGTCATCACTTTGATGGGGTTTTCTGAGTGAGCTGAAGGCTTGCTCCCCACAATGACAACCTCATTGAGTCATAATGATAGATTTCTATTTCATTGTGAATTACGTTAGCTAGCTAGGTAAATAATGAATAATCTATGGAGATTATTGTGCAAATTATTGTGCTTCTTTTCCTGTTAATGATTGTCTGTGTCCAGATCATGATTTTCTTATAAATACTCCTTATTAAACATTATTTAACAATGATTTTTATGGCTATATCTTACTCTATCTGTCATTTAGAAACAGTTCATCCTAAAATACTTGGTGTTTGAACTTTGAGCTGTTATGACAGGATACATTTTTAACATGCTCTCTTTCATTTCTCTGAACAAATGGAAGTATCACACTCGGGATCGTTAAAAATCAAGGAGGCAATCCTCAGCTGGTTTAAATTGTCATAGCTCCATTGAAGTCTATAGATCTCTGAGAATTTTCACCATCTGAGGATCTGCTCCAAACACTCATGATTATGAATTTAAAACTCACTCCCTTTGAATACACTGTACAAAGGCCCTGATTCCACAGCCACTTCAACACAGTCTTTACTTTATTCGTATGAGTGGCCCCATTGAAGGTTTAAAGGTAAACTCATGCTTAAGTCCCTTTGGATATGGGTTAGGGTTATGCATAGGGCTTAAGGCTAACAACAAACTGGTGTCAGACCCTGACACTGTCCCCGTTTCTCTCCTTTCCCAGTCAAATAAAGCCTTAAAATTGGTGCATGGGAATTATTCTCTCCTTCTTGGGTCTTAATTATTAACATAAAATAATTTTTTTATCTCAAAGCCAGAATCAGTGGGCCTTCTTCTCCAGACTTACCAATCCATTACGACTCTTCATCATCAACCTATCCCTCCTGTAAATCCTGCTCACCAGCATGCTCATCACCAAGATGTTAACCAACATGGTGAGCAATTGGAAGACCAGTTTCTTCCCTAGCTTCCATGCAAGTGCCATTGCGTGAATTCATCAAAACCCCATCCCATTTGCCTAAATGTCACTGTTTCCATAAACGATCCTGTCTGCATGGCTGGAATGTTCGCACAGGGGCCATCAAGGCAGCCGAATCACATTCCCTGAAAAAGCAAAGTTATTATTCATACAAAAAGATTTAGCTGTATTCATTCAGTTTTTCCAGTGACACAGAGTAGGAGCACACTCCAGCTTCTGGCAGAGGTAAATCACAGGGTAGCTCACAAGTAGAGCTGGATGGTAAATTTCTGCTGAAACAGAGTTTTGTCCAAAAATGCTGATTCATAGAACCCAAAATGATTCACAGAAACATCTCAGGTTTGATGGACTTTCAGGGAAGCAAGGTCAGATTGGCAATGGACTGCCTGCCTGCCACGCTGAGCTGCTAAGGAGCAGTAAGTTTGAAGACCCTGGTATGGGCTCCCAGAGGCCGTGGCTCGAGGGTAATCTCAGCATACAGACGGCCCTGGCCCAGGAACACCAGGGCTTCCAGACTTCCGGGCCAGCTGGTTTCCCAAAATGGCCACTGAGTCACATAGTCTGGGTAACCAGCTGGACTGGGAACCGGGAATCAGCTGTTGAGTGAAACTCACATTCTGCTCCTATTAGCAGCCATGAAACTGACAAGAATGTCAATTTCACTCAGCAGATGCCGGGGTCCTGTGCAGCAAATTTTGTTTCTGAAGCACCATGTGTTGGTGTTTGTAAAACATTCCCCTCCCCCCGACCCCAGTGTTTTCAGTTAGAGGGAAATTTTGAAATAGCAACATTTCCCACAAAGCGGAAATCCCATGTTTTGGCCAGCTCTGCTTTCAAGCTTTGTTTGTTGTTATGGCCTCATTGGAAAGCATCAAGGTACAGTGTCCCTCCTCTCATCCTAATGTAGACACCAGGGCAACAGTAATCTGCTGAGGCACTTGAACAAACCAATGATGCTTCATTGAGAGTGGAATTGTCTTCTGAAGTTGCAAACCAAGTCTGTTGACCTTCAAGATGTGCTGCTGGCCTACGTATTCTCCCAATCTTTCCTTGAGGGCTTGGCTGGGTTGATGGGAAAATTATATGGAAGTTTCATTGGTTGAGGAGGGAGAATTTTAAAGTCAATGAATGGGGAATGATCCCCTGGTCAGTGAAAAGGGAAGAAGTCTAGTTTGGTTAAGTCGAATTGTATGGATTGTGAATAGGGAATAAGGAGGAGGGAAGGTCTGTGATTGTTGTCAAGTGCAGAAGATTATGGGTGATGAAGGGCAAAGAGGTCTATGGTTGGTTCTGCTGGAGAATGTTTTGGTGGGTGAATGAAGGATAATCTTATAACTGGTAGAGGGCAGAGGAGTCTATGGGTGGTGAAGGACAGATTTGTCTGGTCAGTGGAGGGCAGAGAAGTCTACAGCTGGTTGAAGGAGGAAAATATTCTAGTTGACTGATGGGGGAAATTTTGCCATTGGTTAATGGTGAAAAATTACAGTCAGTTAATGGGAGAGTTTTATGCTGAAGGAAGGAGAATGTTTCCCAGGATGAATGGGTGAGGATTTGGTGGACCAAGTCAGTGTATTTTACATATATTCTTACAATACTGGGCAGAGGTCTAGCGTTTGGGCTTTCTTATGAGTCCAAAAGAACAAATAACTCAAATATTGCTGTCACTTGATTTTACGGCATTTCACATCCTGAAGCTGTGGGTCTCGCGTGGAACAGCACAAATTCAGCTCTTATGTAAACTGGCAGGGCAATGTTAACTACATTGAGGTCATGCCCTCTGACACCAGTACTGGATTTGAATCACTGAGTGTTACAGCACCGGTAGTACCCCATTTCAATAGAAGGGGGAATCATTCTGCCACTCTTGCTGGCTTCTTTCAATAATTAGGATTCTGGGACCTGGTGTGTCAGTGACTTTAGACACCACACTGATGAATGGAGGAGAGAGAGAGAGATCATCCTTGATACGGGCTTGCATAGAGAAAGGATCCAGTGCCCCTGTTGACATTGTCAGTGTTAGGGGTGTTCTGATGTGAGGCTCCCACAGTCACTCCATTTGAAGCTGTTCCACTCTGGATAAATAATTGTTAGTTCTTTCTGATTTCTTTATGGTGGCCTGTATGAAATGCACTGGGGATCTTTGTCCAGTTCCTAGAGGTCTCCCCATCCCACTAATATCAGCATTACTGGCCATAATTTGCACCCTTGTGGTTCATTACTAAGGAAGCATACAAGGATATGGAGAAGGGAATCTCTTTTTATGTACAGAAAGGGTCCTTCCAGGGCAGAGTAGAGGCACATTTCCAAAGACTGTTGAGTGGGGAAGATTGCAGAGCTGCCACTTGGGCTTCTGTGTGCTTTGTTTTGTTCTACAACTGGAGGAGTGTTAACGGGACACTTCATCTTGAATGGTTCCTTGGAACATGCGCTAACTACTTATGCTAAACTATCTGTTCTACCTCGTATTTAGCTGTGACACTGTGGCCTTGTCTACATTACACAGTTTTGTCGACAAAAGGCAGCTTCTGTCAACAAAACAGTGGTGGTGTACACACTGCAATTTTTTGCGACATAGATAGAGCGACACAGCGTCAGTGTAGACACTGAGTTCCTTACAACACCGTAACTGGCCTCCAGGAGGTACCCCACCATGCCCACCGTGACTGCTCTGGTCACCCTTTTGAACTCTGCTGCCCTGCATCCAGCTACACAGTCATCCTCCCCTCCTCTTTCAAAGCCCCAGGAAGTTTTGAAATTGCTCTTCCTGTTTCCTCGGTGTGCAGTGTTCACATAGCTACTCTCCAGCTGAGCATGCTGGCTCCCTGCAGCAAACAAGCGCCTGTCTGGACTGCATGGGAGGGGGTGGATCTCCTGGGTTTGTGGGGAGAGGAGGCTGTGGGTCTGCGGCTGGGTCTGTGGGGAGAAATCACTGTAGGGAGGCAGTGGGAGATAATCACAGGGACCTCCCTACACTGTGTTTTCCCCAGGAATTGAAATTAGGGAGGGTGTTGGAATATTCGGGGGGCGGGGGCGGGTGAGGGCAAACAAAGGTAAAACTGAAAAATGTTTCATGACCATTTTATTAAATTGAACTCATGTTTTAAAATCATCATAAAAAATAAAGTTGTCTACTCAAGCCTACTAGGAAGCAGACCATCAACATCCATCTTGGCTTCTTGCACTCTTTGGTGTCTTCTTGTGTGTCCGTTACTTCTAGTCCTTCATGACATGCTGATGATCCGGCAGCAGGTGACTTCTTTTAGAAAATAAAATGAGGAGAAGGAACACTCAACTATAGCTGTTGTGACTGGAAATAGAAAGAGATGAATTCCTGTATCTTTCATCCCAGGAAACATAGCACAAAAATTGGGTCGAAAGACTAGTGATGATAAAGAAGTTGAAGTTAAATCTTCATTCGTTCATTGTATGATATTCCACTCTATTCAAATTCTCTTTTCTGTCCTGATCACATGGCAACCCCATTGCTGGTAGTGCCTTATTCCACTCATCTCTCAGTGTTTTATAAGACAGGCATCTCTAAAAATGACGTGGAGGTTGATAGAATCCAGAAATCGCTATTGTAGATTTGTAAGAAACAAGTCTGTGTACTTTTTCAGCTTGCTTAAAAAACACTTCTTGTGCTCTTCACTTAAGGAGTCAATATATTAAGTTACCTTCATTAGTCAACTTCTGAACTGGTGTCTTTGCTTCTTCCAGTACATTTTCAGTGGATATCTCTGACTAATCCAAGGCTAGCTTCTATTGCTGGACAAAGGTCTTCTACTGTTCCAGCAGATGCCTGGATGACATTGTATAATGACCCAAGTGGTTTCAACAGGAGACTTACAAGGGAGAGAATGGCAATAGTCTTCTCTGAACATAGTAGCAAACGTAATCCACCAGCCTCACTACTTACATCTGTCCTATCTTGGTGGATACTTTCCAAAGCCAGTAATAACAGGTGCAGTATTTTTAAGACAACAGCCAAGGATCATTCATGAGAAAGCCAGCAGGTTTTCCCAGGTTGGATTAATTTGAACTATTAATATTTAAGAACATAAATGTGAAATTACAATCTGAACTGTTTTTGGGCTGGTCTACCGTGCTAAATTGATCGGAGATACACTACTTATGTTACGTAAACAACTTAACTGATGTCGACATAGCTTAGATCCACTTAGCACGGTGTCCACACTATGCTATGTCGAAGGGAGACGCTCTCCCCTCGACATATCTTCCACCTCTCATTGAGATGGATTAAGGACATCGACGGGAAAGCGCTCTCCCATTGATGTAGTGTGTCTTCACCAGACCAGGTAAATCGATGCTTCTGCATCACTTAAGAACTCTGGTAAATCTTACTGTGTGCCTGTGTCCATCTTTAGGTGCCTAAATCCTTTTGTAATCCTGGTCCACAGAAATTACAGAAGCTGGGCTGGAGTCAAGGTAACCTGCGGTAGATCCTGGGGCCTGTGCCATACAGATATCAGACTATAGGATTATATTTATATTTTGGCTTGAAAATCCATGACTTCATGACTTTTTGCCTCTGGGCCTCTGCTTCTGAGCTGTTGAGGCCCCAGGGAGTGAGTCCCTGCAAGGCCTTAGAAAATAGACATGGATAGACAGCCTTCTACAGCATCAGCCCTCTAGTGTCAGGGAAGCTCAAAGTCAGCTTATCTACAGACAGCAACAGGTTTCCATCTAGTTCTGTCAGTTCATTCTCAGAGTGAGGGGCGAACGGGCTCTTACATAGCTGTGTCTTTGGCTTCTAGATACTACAGCGGTAGGGAAATGGAGATAGAGAAATAATAACCAAAGAATCCTGGTGCTGGAAGATCGAATATATCACAATTTGGGGAAAAATCCACAGTGACTAGCACAGTAAATTCACTATTTCAATTAAATATAGCAGGGGATTAATATACAGAGCAAATGTCAGACCCTAAACATAAATTAACATTTGGACCCTTTAAGGCTTTTGCTGTCAATTAAGTCAGAGAGCTTGAGCCAGTCAGAGAAAAAATCAGTGCAAAACTTTGACTTTGCATCAGATACCCAAAATCAGAAAAAAATCAGGATTTGGCAACGAAACATGTATTTGTTTTTAGCAAAATACCAGGCTTAAGCTGCTTTGCTTTTATAATTGTGTCATATGTTCAGATCTTCAAAGCAGTGCTGAGAATCTCCTCTGAGCAGGGCCGGCATAAAGCCTTCTCCACCTGCCTCCCTCACCTCAGTGTGATCTTCTTGTTAGTTTTGTGATGGGGCAAGGCCAGATGGCTACAGTAAAATAGTGAGGAAATGGTATGTTAGCCCCAGGCTAAACAAATACTTGGTACCGTGGTAAGTAAATGGCAGTTGCTCCATACTAATCAAGACACCTGGGGCCAATTAAGATCCTTCTAGAAGGCAGGAGAGACAGCTAGATTGTTTGGGACACCTGAAGCCAATCAAGGACTGGCTGGAACTAGTTAAAAGCCTCCCAGTTAGTCAGTGTGGTGTGGGTGCCAGGAGCTATAGGAGGGAGCTGTGCTGTTGGAGGAATGAAGTAGTACGAATCCATATCAGGTGCAAGCAAGGAGGCCGTGAGGTAATTGTGAAGAAGATATTGAGTGTGGGCTGCTGTGGGGAAGTAGCCCAGGGAATTTTACATGTCCTATTTCCAAAAAGTCAGCTTTCATAGCTGCTAAGTTTAGGGTCCCTGGGCTGGAGCCCAGAGTAGACAATGGGCCCGGGCTCCCCCCTCCCCTCCCTGATTAATCGCTGATAATGGGAGACAACAGAGACTGTGTGAGGGAGGGTTGTTTCTCCTCACTTCCCTTGCTGGCATATGATGAATATGGCTCAGAAGACTGTGACCCTTGGCTCTAGAGAGAGAAGGGCTATGTGGAAGGGTCACAGTGAGCCTTTGAGGCTAGCAAAAATCCGTCAGGAAACGTTGGACCCACAGAGTCAAGGACCGAACTTTGTCACAGTTTGCACTGCCACCTTTGCCTACCTGAAACCCACCTTCAGCTCAACATCAGATCTTGATTTAACCGTGGCTGTTCTTTATTCCGTGGTGCCTCCAGTGATGAATCCAGGCATCTACAGCATGAGGAACAAGGAGATCAAAGGTACCCTAGAAAACTGACTGAGGGGAAGTTATTCAAAAAGAATAAAATTTCCAGATTTCTCCCATGACCATGTTTTCATTCTGTGCTTCTTTACAGATATAATCAACTGATGACATTATTGACTCCATGGGAATGTGATGTTCAGGCTCTTTATGCAAAAATGTTATGTTCACAGTAGTAATAATCCAGACTAAGTTCACTGAAGTCAGTGGAGTTACTCTACTGTGAATTAGATAAGAATCTATGTATCTATCTATCAGCTTGAACCAATAGCTCAGAGAGGTTTGAACTGCTCCACTCATATCAGTCACCCAGGTGCCAGCAGGCTGTTCTGTGTGTTGTGGGATCATGTCCCCCTTTGCCTCTTTTCAGTTTCACAACCTGAGGGGCGGCGCTTCCCCAGACCTTGGCACACATCGGGAGAGGTGATTAGGAAGAAAGGCTCAGTCCCACCTCCCACCAAAAGCCAAGGAGAAAGCCCCCAAGATCACAAAAGGGGGAGAAGGAGAGGTATCGGACACGCATAGATACATCAAGAGCCCTCTGATATTGGCACACACAAGGGAGGGGAATGTGGGGCTGTCAGGCATCCTGCCCCTTGTTCTAGTTCTGGATCCATCAGAGAAGGAGATGGGCACAGAGAGCACTGATGGAAACACAACTGGCTGCTGTGCTCGCTTTATTGTTCCCGCTGCAAAACTGAAACTAACAGGAAAGTGAGGCTTTGAGCTTGGGAGGGGAGAGAGCATAGAGTCCTCTGAACATTGAAAGAGACCAGACATCACAACCCTCTGTTCTCCCAGCCCCCTGTGACTCACCCTCATGTCCTCTCTTCCCAGTGTCCCACCCCTTCTCATCTCCTGACCCAAACTCATCTGCTACCCACCCACCCTATTCATCCCCTTCCCCATAACCCCGCCCCTCACTGCCCCCCAAACCGCACTCCCACAATTACCTCCAGCTCTTCCACCCTCATCCTCCTCCCCTCCCAGCGGGTAAGTCTATTTCAAAAATTGTTTCATCACATTCTAAATATCCTGCAGTGCCCAGGTGACCTTTCCCCACAGTTGGAAACCCTCAGACAGAGCCAGGTGCCTCCTGATTCTTAGGTTCAGATTTCGGCTCAGGGTTAGATCTGAACTCAAAGTGCCCAGATGGCGTGTGGGTTTGTCAGCCAGTACTGGACATTCCCTCTTCAAGGACTCACAGCCTGTGAGCCAGAGGTACCTTTCAACCAGCTCATTCTCCCTCCATGCACGTGCTCAGCGTAATCCATTTGGCGCCACTCCAAGCAGTTTGAAGGCTGACGGGCCTAACTGAGAGCTAGACCCTTTGGCTAATACCACTGTCACTTTATTTCCTCCAAAGAGCTGGTGAGTGGCCCTTGAGCACTGGAAACGCTCCCTGCTGTGAGGATCTGAGCCCTGGTTTGATCTCTGTCTGTGCACAATAAATCAGCACCAAAATACCCCAATGTTAAGAAAAGTTAGAAGTAATTTCTTTGGAGTCAATGGGACTGATTCCATCTCACTCACCCTGGTGTAAATCAGGAGTAACTTCTTTGGAGTCAATGGGGCTGATTCCATCTCACTCACCCTGGTGTAAATCAGGAGTAACGTCTTTGGAGTCAATGAGCCTGATTTCCCCCTCACTCACCCCAGGGTAAGTCCATGGTGTTACAATGGAGTATGTCTGGTCTAAGGAAGAGGAGATTCAGGTCCTTTGACTCCAGGCCCTGCTGAGGTGTGGCCCTTCTGTGTGTGGTCCTGGGCCCTTCAATCCCAAATCCCCTGAGGCACAGCCCTTCTCTGAGGGGTTGGACCCTCAATCCCAGAATCTCCTGGAGCATGGCCCTTCTCTATGGGGTGCTCTGCCCCCCAGCCCCTCACTGACCATAGCATCTCCTACCCCATTTCTCAATCTCTCTGCTCGCCTCTGCAAACCCCCCACTTGGTGAATCTCAATGAGAACATCCTGATATAAGAGTGCCTGCTGTACCACATCAAGGATGGCATGACTAGACACCAGGAATGGGGTATGATGGGGTACTATTGGTGGGGGTGTCCACTAACCTGGGTCTGACTGGGGCCAACAACAGATGCTGCACTACCCATAGCAATGGAACAATAGGGATAGGATGGGGAGATCTGCCCCCACTGCAACAGGTGCAGCATTGTCTGCCTGAGTCTGAAGAGGGCCTGAGACAATGGCTCTGGGAGAGGGGAAGTGCCCCAGGCATCTCCATGGGGTTTGAACTCCCAGCACCACTGCTCTGGAGCACCCCACCAACCCCGCCCCAGCAGGGGGCTCTCTGTGCAGGGGAGGGGAAGAGCACAGCAGTCCCAACCCCCTCACCCAAGCAGACACACCCTGTCTGGGGAGGTAAGGACTGGGGGAACCATGACTGCCCTCTGCCTGTCTGTGGGCACCTACCTGTTCCCAAGGGGTTGGGCGAGAGTCACCTGCTCCTCTTCTGGGACAGACCAGGGGTCCCATGCCATTGTCCCAGCCTACCTTTGGAGCCCCCACCGCCCACTCCATGCATGGGCCTGGAGTGTCTGAATCCAGCCCTGAGAGTCAGCAGAGATTTATGGGACTAAATGTTCATCTTTCCACAGGCTCCTGAGAACAGCCTAGCTCAGAGCTGTGACTCTTGGAGGGAGCACCACCAGCTGCTGAAGATAGAGGGACAGCGACCCCACCCCCAATGGACAATTCTGCACTGACCTCCATTTCAGGGAGGTTCTCTGTGCGTTAATGGCTCACTGGAGTTCTGCACCAGGGCAGTTTAATTCAATCTCTGATCTAATCTAACCATGAAGGCTCTCGTCATCCATGACAATGTCTCACCCCGCTGACCATTTTGTCTCAGCAATACCTTGTGGAAGTGAGTTCCCCAGGTTAGCTGTTAGCTGGTTGGCACTGGGCAGAGGCCACTCTGGAAATACTGTTCAGAAAAGGGGCTTGGCCAGGAAGAGGAAGGAGGAGAGCGGGGAAGGAAGGTAGTGGTGGCCCGGGCTTGCCAATGGGTTGAAGGACGAGAGAACGTACAGGTGTTTGGAGCCAGGGGTCAGTGGCTGTTCCCTTGGGCTGGGGCCATGTCAGAGGAGTGGGGCTGAGCAGAGGAGAGGATTGGCGGTCAGAAGAGGGGACTGGTGGGCAGAGGGGTTAAGCAGGGATCTCTGAGGAAGCTGAGTCAGGAACTCTGGGTGAGGAATTGACTCTCGGCCATGGGAGGGGGAATCTCAAAGAACAGGGGCTGAGAGGGTCTGTGGAGTGACGGTTGTGAGAGGGGTGGGAGAAGATTAAGGGCTGTGGGTGTTTGCTTGGGAGTCTGGGTTAGGTGAGGGAGAGGGAGGGAAACACTCATGGTCTAGAGTAAGATGGGTTCAGCAGGTGAATCATGGATCATCTCTAAATAAACTCAAAAAGAACAGGAGTACTTGTGGCACCTTAGAGACAGACTAACACAGCTGCTACTCTGAAATCTAAATAAATGTTTCATTATAAGATTTTCATCCAGTCTCAATTATAATCCCTCAGATGTTGGTAAACAGAGGCACAGATAGTTGAGGTAACATAGTTGTATAGCTGGGCTTAGATAACAGGGGTTCTTAACATCTCTACTTTCTTTCTCTAGATGCCTGGCTGTACTAGTTATCATTACAGGCTGGGATTCTCAAGGGCATCTAAGGGAGTTAGGAGCTCAGGATGTACATGCCTTACTGCCACAGGCTCCTTTGCAAATCCCAGGCACCATTTTCTGAAATTCAGGAGAAGCCCATG